AAAAATACAGACATATTAACTGTCATTTTAACATCATCAATTGATTTTTCATCATTTTTTTCTTCACATTTAACTCTGTCATAACTGCAATATTTACTCTCCTTAAAATGTATAGCAAATGTGACTATGGCCTGCTTTTGGCTGACAAAAAAATAATATTGAATGTTGTTCTCTATCTATGATGGGATTTGCAGACATCTGATAAATCTGCCCTTCACGACTCATTTCTGTTGTTTGTTAACTTACTAAGGTAAGCAGGCTGTGTGCATGCAAGCGATACACTTATTGAAATATGTCTTATCATAATAGTAAATAGGCACATTTATACATACAGTTTTAAACTTTTACAACAAGCGTAAAGCAAAACAAAATGTATTTCCCATGCACATAAAAAGCATGTAAGTCTATCTGTTTTTGCGCATTTATTGGTTTATATATAGCGTGGATTATAATATAATAAACCGAGAGAGTAAAACTTTGTCACGGACCATATTTCTAAAAATAAGTTTGAAGAGTTGTCTGTAGCAGGGTAGTGCTGACATCACAGGCGAGCGCCCTGAAGGCACTGTAGTCCGTTTATAGCATTAACTAGTTACAGTTTATATGGAGGAGTTCCCAAACTTTTAACCCGCGACCCCCAAAATAATAATGCCAGTGATTCATGACCCCCCCTGTTTCATGGAGGTGGTTATAATCATGCAAATCTTGCATAGGCCTATATAAACACCAGCATATTGACAACACAAAAAAGTGCAACTGTCTAACAACCATATCATTTTCATAGTCATTTATCAATTTGTCTAATATTAACCTCACCTAATGAGACTGGTTGACACAATATTTTCAGCACAAGTCTATTCTTGGTTTAATTTTGTAGACTGACGCTTCTTTGGAGATCATCCTCAATGTTCAGTTGTGACCTGTATTTATTTTTTTTATGGATTTAATTACCATAAAGATGTCAGAAAGTTTAAGCTTGTGGTATAAAATCAATCTGCTGCAGCTAACGCTATTGCTGTGTTATTAATCCAAAAATAATTAAAAGACTGATGGCTTTTCATTTGCATGGTGTTGTTTTTTTCATGAAACTATTAACTACTATTTTTGTCTTTAATGGTTAAAATGGTTAAAATGTGGTAATTCTTATTGTTTAATAAAATTTATTAGACTTTTGGAAATCACCAAGGGACCCCTTGTCAATGTCTAGCGATCCCCACTTTGGGAACCACTGACCTAATGTTAGCTTTTCAGTTCTTGCAATTTAAGATCTAAAAATGTTAAAAGTTATGTTTTCATGTGAGGATAATCCGATTGGACTAAACGTGTAAGTGTAATGAACAGTGTTTGAACACAGAGCTTATTATTTGCAATCTTTGAAAAGCCTATGGGAAAATCTTATGGGGATTTTATCCAGGGAACTAATTTTATGCTAGCAGCTGATTAGCCTACAAAGTGTTGTCACAGTTCCTGCACTCTATAATCTTAGGGGTAAAAAACAAAGGTTGTTTTATGTCAGTTTTCATGTTGTATTCAAAATGAATACATATTTGATGATATTAAATATGATTTGAAGTATCTCTTAAAGTTATACCGAACATATACCGAAGTTTGTAACTAGAATTAAAAAAAAAATTTGCAAAACATTTCTGCCACAATAAAACCAATCATTTTTACAGTAACACTTTACAATAAGGGTGTAATACTTAATGTTAGCTAATCATTAGTTAACATAAGGTAACAGTGAACAACACATCGGTTAAGTATTACTTAATCTTTTGTAATGAGTCAATCATAAATCAATGTGTTATATACTACATTAATTAAGCCTAATTAGTTCATGTTTACTTACACAATCACTAATTTATTCATGGGTTACATAACATGACCTAAAAATGAACAACATGTTTATTCAGCAACACTATAATTAAACTAAACATATATTAATGTGCTATTTAATGCATTAGTTATCTTTGTTATCACTTTACTAACATTACCAAAGCATTAGTTAAGGCAGGGGTGTCCTGGAGGGCCAGTGTCCTGGAGAGTTTAGCTCCAACCCTAATCAAACACACCTGAACAAGCTAATCAAGCTCTTACTAGGTATACTAGAAATCTCCAGGCAGGTGTGTTGAAGCAAGTTGGAGCTAAAGTCAGCAGGACACCGGCCCTCCAGGTCCGACTTTGGACAACCCTGAGTTAAGGGAATTAGAAACCTTGTGAAGTGTACAATGTATTGCAACATTATCTAATGTGTTACTAATATTTGTTCATGTTAAAAAATGCACTAACTAATAAAATATAAGTTAACATTAATATATGTTTAGTTTAAGTGAAGTTTAGTTTTAAACTAATTTCGAGAGGAGCATGTGCTCATGATTTACCCAGCTGGTCCACATTAACTAATTATGATCCTCCAATCAAAGGATCCCAAACCACTATATATATCCTCATTTCCTTTCTACAACTATCTTCGTCTGGAAGAAACCCCCCCCCCCCTCCTCCCCTTCTTCCTCCTTTATCCAGAATGGGCGGCACGGTGGCCCAGTGACTAGCACTGTTGCCTCACAGCAAGAATACCAATGGTGTTGGGTCCTCGCTGAGCCATCTGGTATTTCTGTGTGGAGTTTGCATGTTCTCCCCGTGTCCGCGTGGGTTTCCCCCGGGTTCCCCGGTTTCCTCCCACCATCCAAATGTGCTCTATATTATAGATAAAACAAGCCTAAACCTTTTTCATAATGTCCTACTCTCAGGAAGTTCGCCTTGGCCTCAGCAGCGGGGGAGTTTGAGATAGACCTGAGCTCAATCTCCACTCGCCCTGCAAAAGGGGGGGAGCCCTGGGCTCGAGGATCCCTTGAGCTCAGGGCTCTCTCCCGGGACAGCATGCCAAACAAGCTATGTATAAATCATGAGCTAAGTGTGAACTCTTGAAATGCTGTTAATGTAAAAGGTGCATTAAAATATGAGTAGGTTAACATTAATAAAGATCATGTAGTGTTTAATAAAGTCATTGTTCACCATTAAATCATGTTAACTTACATATTACATAACACGTTAATATACTGTATGTGTAGTTACCATTAACAAAGATTAAGTAATGCTTAATAGATGTGTTGTTAACTGTGAAGACAAAACAAATTAATTTTTTGATACACCAAAACAGTGTAAGAATGTGACAATGATAGTGAAAAATGCTGCAACTTGTCCATGACTAAAAATTGCTGTAATAAAAAATATTAGATGCTTTAATGCTGGTTTGTTTACAAAATGCCACAGGAGTTTTATTAAAAATTGAAGTTTTTTTCATATACATTTTTTTCTTTTTTAATTAGTTTTAGGTATGTCAACACCATATATTCCTAGCCATTCATATTTTTTATGTAGCGTTATTTTTTTTTAAACTACCACAAAATAATGTCCATGTCATAAAAATATTATACATCCATTTTTTTCACCAGCATCAGTTCTAACCATGATTACAAAACCTTCATTAATTTACAGAACTGTAAACCTTAAATGCTGATTTGTTTACAAAATGTCAGTGGCTGCAACTACAGCTCAAAAACGTCCATTGTTATGAAATGTCTTCCAAGCAATGAAATGACTTAAGCATCATATATTTATAAGCCAAATTGTGCGAAAACATGTGCTAACTCAAACTTTGTCTGTAACCTTCCAGACAAAATAAAATCAGCGTTTTCCTGAAGTGAAAACAAAAGTAAGTTGTCCAGAGGCGTCTAAACTACTACATCAAAATCAAGCTCAAGAAATCAAGCATTATAAAGCAGAAAAAGATACATTATCATCAGGGCTTTCATTAACTTTTTTGATCACCAGCCACTGTGGCTTGTAGATTTCCAACATTACTAGCCACTTTCCATTTTCACTAGCAACAATTTTGTTGTTTGGAAAATATATTTTATATAAATAAATGTAACTTTGACATGCTAAAATGACTTTATTTAGATGTTGTGTTGTCCACATGCCTCCTCATTTATTTCACAGTTTGTGTGTGTTGTGTATGAGCTTGCTCACTGTGCATGAGCAAATGGGTTGTCGCATTGCAATTGGTTTTTATTTCACATGACTTTTTAGGACTCAGAATAAAGGTTTTACCAAATTCATCTCCATCCACATTAAAAAGAAATAATTATTTCTTAGCCACATATTTAAATTTTTCAAAACAAGCAAATATATAGCTGTATACATGCACTTTTTATTCAACAAAACTTTTTTATTATTTTTTTTAATTAACATTTAAAAAGATCTATTGTCAAGCATCTAAAATATGCACAGTAATCTGTCCTGGCTAAAGGTCTCAGATCAGTAGTTACTACACACAAATGGGGAGTTAATCTCATATTAAAGAAATGTTATCGTAAAGGATGATAATTAAACTATATTAACAAAAATAACTGTAAGCAAAAGAAAGCAGGTAAAAACAAATCACGAGTAATAATGAAAGGATGATCACGTGCCTGAGAATAATTAAAATGAAAGCAGTGACTGCTGCTGTTGCTTACAAATTTATATATTTTTCAATCTTGAGCTCTTAAAAGCAGCAGGACTGTGGGTACACGAGCATCGTTTTTATCAAGTCTTTTTCAAAGAGAACCAATCGCAAGTGAACGGAAAAAATCGCAAGTAAACAGTAGTGTGCGCGCTTTTTAACAGTCGCGTGCATCACATCACCTGTGTGCGCGCGAGTAATCATCCTCTCGCCTGCTTTGTATCGCGCGAACAGTTACTGTTTTCAGTCGTGCTGCTTCTCTAGTCTAAGATCACATTTGCATGCATATTGGGCCATCCTTATTGTTGAACTGCTTTAAGAAAACTACAATGTAAAAATTATTTCCAATCTGCCAAAGTGGCTAGTGGAGGCGTCTGTCTAACCCGCCAAAGCTGAAATCAACCCGCATTTGGCGGGTGTTAATGTAAAGCCCTGATTATCATGAAACAATCCAGCTCAAATAGCAAACACATCCAGATTTGTTTGTGTTTACCTGTCCAGCCTGCTAGACAGCGGCAGTGTCCAGTTGAGGGGTGACACCCATCTGCATGACTGCAGTCACAACGCTCACGGCAATCCAATCCATATGTCCCGTCCTGCACCCAACAAAGTAGGGATTTTCACAAGATTTGAACAATAAACATTCAAATTAATTGCATATTAAAAGAAACTTTAATTCATTTGAAACTGGTTAGGCAAACTATTATTATTATCAATATGTTCATTAGGCTGAAGTAATGAGATGATCATAAAATGAGGAGTGAATGTCAAAAACACAGAAAATAATTGGGATATAATACACTACCACATTGCAAAAATTAATTGACAGTCGTAATTTGTGATTCACAGGCGTTTTCCTTTCAAGAGTTTACACTTAGCTGATGATTTATAAAAGCATTTTTGGCATGCTGTCCCGGGAGAGAGCCCCGAGCTCAAGGGATCCTCGAGCCCGGGCTTCCTCCCGTTGGCAGAGCAAGAGGGGAGACTGAGCTCGGTGGATCTCAGAACTCCCCGACTGCGGTAGCTAAGGGAACAGAGGGGTTAGACAAATGCTTGATTGTTATACATGTTGAATGTCTTTGGATGGTGGGAGGAAACCGAAGAACCCGGGGGAAACCCACGTGAACATGGGGAGAACATACAAACTCCTCACAGAAACACCCACCGGCCCTAAGGGACCAGGGCCGGCAGTGTTCTTGCTGTGGGGCTCGCAGTGCTAACCACTGGGCCGCCGTGCCGCCCAATCAGAGGTAAAGGAGGAGAATAGGGGAGGAGGGGGGTTTCTTCCAAACGAAGATAAAATGAGCTGATACTGTGGTTATTTATAGTAGCTTAGGGCTCATATGATTGGAAGATAGTGATTAGCAAATACGGGACCGGCCGTGATAAATCATAAGCACGTGATCCTCTCGAAATTAGCTTATGAATAAACTTCACTTAACTTTAAAACTACATTATGGCACTATGATCTCTGCTCTTCCAGTTACAATGTAAAGATTTAGACTTAAATTCAATTCAATTGAGTGCAATTCAGGTTTATTTGTATATCACCTTTTCACAATAACCATTGTTCCAAATCAGGTTTACAAAGTGTGTACATTATGACATTTCAATCAAAATAAGAAAATGTTAAGCTGGACAGTACAGCTGGCAAGTGTATACAGTATATACAGAGCTAATCTGCAAATACAATATAATGAACTTATGTAACACACCCATGAATCACAGAGTCTTCAGTCAATTAACTGATATTTTACAGTGATTTCTAAATTATTAAGTCCAAATATTGTGCAGTCTTTTGAAATGATTTGAACTTATTTTCGCATTCTAAGGTTTTCTATTTCTCAATGAGGGTCAGATTGAAAAATGTATGATGTTACAGATGATCTGACCTGACAATGTTGATCACATCTGTCTCCTCTCCAGCCTGGAGTACATGTGCATTTGCCATCAAGAGCATTGCATGCGCCTCCATTACCACACACACATGACAGGTTACAGCCCAAACCCCACGTTCCACTGGGGCAGTTAATTGAGCAGTCCACCCCATGCCACCCTGACAGAGTTGCAATGACGACAAGGAGAAAGTATAGAGTTAAGAAATGACATAGACTATTAATAAATATTTCTAACAATAATTAACAGTAAAACTCTATTCTTGACTTACAAACATATTTAAAATGTGCTTAATATTTATACTTTCATACTTAGTTAATGATTTATTTTTCATTACTAAATTAAGTATCGCATTATTTACAAACCATTTGTATATAAGAGTAGTTGAGTGTTTTTAGGATCATTCAGAATTAGTTAGTAAATGATTAATAAACTATTAAAATCAACATTTATATTTCTTATTATTCAAGCATATATTAATGGTTACTATATATGTTAATAAATGTTTTATTACCTCAACTTCATCTAGTTTTGTGACCTAATCTAAAGTGAGGACTATTCATGCTTTATAAATCCTTTATAAATGACAAATAAAGGCTCAGTTAAATTCTAAACAGGAAGAATGACTTTATTCGTTCCTATACACAAATGAAACTGGTTATGGAAAATAAATCTTTGCAACCTCATCTAAAATAAAATCACTGTAGAGTTTTAACAATGCATCTTATTATATTGTTAAATTATTATATTATTGTTGTTGTTTTATCCAGTTTTATGTTGTATTTTGACACTCCTGTTATTTGGCAATGTTTAAACTTTACAGTAATTTTACATTTTAGAAAAGATAGCACAGATTATTGTTCATTTGATTCAGAGCCTTTAATTGTCATTTATAATGGATTTATAAAGCATAAATAGTCCTCACTTTAGATAAAGTCACAAAACTGCATGAAGTTGAGTTAATAAAGCATTTATTAACATATTTGTTAACTATTTGTATATGCCTGCATAATAAGATAAATAAATGTTGATTTTAATAGTTTAGTAATCATTTACTAACTCATTCTGAATGATCCTAAAAACCCTCAACTACTCTTAAATACAAATGGTTTGTAAATAATGCAATATTTAATTTAGTAATAAAAAATAAATCATTTACTAAGTATGAAAATACAATTAATAAACACATTATATAGGTGCTTATAAGTCAAGAATGCAGCATTTGTAGCTGCAGTTATAAACTGCTTACTAACGTTTATAAATGTAGAGTTAATGCTTAACAAATAATGAATTCACTAGATGCCAATGCTTGGTAAATGATACATAGTGTGTAGATATTATAAAGTGTTACCATGAAACCTTACACTTTAAGCTGAATACTAGTATCTTGAAAAATATCTAGTAAAATATTATGTAATGTCATTATAGCAAAGATAAAAAAAAATCAGTCATAAAAAAATGTATTATTAAAACTATTATGTTTAGTAATGAAATATTTCCTTTAAACCAAAATTGGAGGACAATATATAGGGAGGCTATTATATCATTAAAGTTAATATTTCTGACTTCAACTGTAGGAGATCCCCTGTCCACTGAAACCATTTTTGCAGTGATTTTGCTCCAATCCAGTAAAACTTGAACTGAATTAGAAAGTTACATGTGGGGATCAGGGCTGGAGCTAAACTCTGCAGGAACGTGGATCCTAAAGATGAGAACTGAAGAGCATTACCTGCTTGACAAGAACATGATCCATCGATGGGTGAACAAATGGCTCCATTTTTACAAGAACACAGAGAAGTACAGTTGATGCCATATGTACCCGGAGGGCAGGCTATGGCACAGTCTGAGCCCTGTGATCAAAATCACACATCAGTGTTTGAATCCGACGCACACACACACATACACTTACACATAGAAAAGACATCCTCTTTTATGATGATGTACCTTATATCCCGGTGCACAGATACATTCCCCGCTCACACTGTGGCAGTCGGCTCCATTCTGGCAGCGACAGACCTCCTGACAGGCCTCCCCATAGAAACCAGGAGCACATGTCTCATTACAGTACAACCCCGACCAGCCCGACTGGCAGGAACACTCACCTGACATTGGGTGACAACTGAGAGAAAAAGAGAGACTTCACATTATTTAGGTAAAGAACATGTAAACAACAATCTACCATCTAAATCACACTGTGTAGGGCTGGCTGGTTCACATTTTTTATTAATTTGGATGTGCATTTTATTATTTATATTTTTCTTGAAACGGGAAATCCTGATTTTAAATTAAAAATATTAGACACATTATTATTGCAACAGACAGCAACTGTTTGAAAATGTTTTTGGAGAGGTTGGATGTTAAAGAAAATTTTCTCAAATGCAAAAATCCATTGTAAAACATGTGAGTTAACTACATGTTGTGTGTTTGCGTGATGGTCTGCATTAATTATTGTTGTTATTACTGTTAATAATTCTGCTGGTGGTGAATTTGCTTGACCTTTTGAATTGACTGATGCAATGTTAAAATTGGTTGTTTTCTTTATTCATTCGGCAGTGTTTAATGTTTAATTCAAATGGCAGAATATTAACTTTTTTTCTTTGAAATTTTCTGCAAAGATATTAAAATAGAGCATTTTTTACATTTATTTACAACATTTATGTTTGACATGCAAACCAGGAGGCGAAGCAGTGGCGCAGTAGGTAGTGCTGTCGCCTCACAGCAAGATGGTCGCTGGGTCGCTGTTTCAAGCCTCGGCTCAGTTGGCGTTTCTGTGTGGAGTTTGCATGTTCTCCCTGCGTTCGCGTGGGTTTCCTCTAGGTGCTCCGGTTTCCCCCACAGTACAAAGACATGCGGTACAGGTGAATTGGGTAGGCTAAATTGTCCGTAGTGTATGAGTGTGTGTGTGTGAATGTGTGTGTTGAATCGCAGAGATTGGTTGCGGCTGGAAGGGCATTCGCTGCGTAAAAAATGTGCTGGATAAGTTGCCGGTTCATTCCGCTGTGGCGAATAATAAAGATACTAAGCCGATAAGAAAATGAATGAATGAATGAATGAATGAATGAATGCAAACCAAGAATACAACGATCCTTAACCAGGGATGAGTTTCCCAAATAACAATGTAACTCGTGGCTGAACTATCACAGTATGATGCATCATTTGGGAAATAACGATGTAGTGATGAGTGTTTCCCCAAAATCATAGTTTTTCTGTCACAAATCCATCGTTTGAATCGTTAGATCCATGTTAGTTATAACGTAAAACAATCACAAAGATGCTCTGAACAGGGTGGTAACAACTTCTTTAGAGAAGAACCCCATCATTTCTTTGTGCAAATTATATTGTTTACACGCACACACTTTTAAAAGAACATCCAATATTTGTTTTGGTAAAAACATTTTCCATATTAATTGAAATAAATGTAAATGGCACATATAGAGCCCGTGTTCCTCTACAAATATTATTGAGAACATTCCACATTCTAATCTAACATAAAATCACTTACAAAAGCACATATTACATACAATACATATTCTAATCTCATGTAAAAATCGTATAAATAAACAAATAACAAGGCTATTTATTAAGAAATAAAATGTAACATTTATTATTTATTAATAAATGAAAAAAAATCCTACTTTGATGATGAAAATATTAATAATGATATTATTATTATTATTATTTTATCTTCGCCATGATGACAGTAAATAATATTTGACTAGATATTTTTCAAGACACTTCTATACAGCTTAAAGTGACATTTAAAGGCTTAACTAGGGTAATTAAGTTACCTTGGCAGGTTAGGGGAATTAAGCAAGTTTGTATAACGATGGTTTGTTCTGTATATCGGAAAAAATATAGCTTAAAGGGGCTAATAATTTTGATTTTAAAATGTTTATTAAAAAATTCAAAACTGCTTTTATTTTAGCTCAAATAAAACAAATAAGACTTTCTCCAAAAGAATAAATATTATCAGACACACTGTCAAAATTTCCTTGCTCTGTTAAACATCATTTGGGAAAAAATTTAAAAAGAAAAAGAAATTCAAAGGGGGACTAATAATTCTGACTTCAACTGTATATTATATATCATTTTATACTGATTTTCTTTATGTTTAGGAAAAAAAGCTCTTAATAAAAAACTTGTAAGCTCTTAATAAAACCACTTGACAGGGGTTGGTGTTAATAACTATTAAATGTCAGACATAATGAGACAATAAAGTCCATTACCTGTGGACAGAGCAGCTGTAAAGAGCCTTTTTGAGTTACTACCGCAGCTGCCATCACATGTGACACATGGGGTTTGTCAGCTGTGCACGTCTGTCTGAACTAAACAATGAGCAACTGTGTGTGTGTGTGTGTGTGTGTGTGTGTGTGTTCCCCTGTCTAAACACACAGCCCCTTAAAAAACAACAACAAGATGCACACATTAACCCCCAGTGGTCTACATTAGGAAACCAGATTCGGTGGCAAACCAGGTATAAGTCTGAGGTTAGCTTGACTGAGCACACCTTTTTTGTGTTTTATCAACATTCATTGTTAGCATGCTACACAGCTGACATGTTTCAGAGCAGGTATTTTAGAGTGCAAAACAGAACTGTACCAAATTAACAGTGTCATATGTCTAACCAAATACTTCAAACCCTGTATCTCTTGCTCCAAATTAAATCAGTTCATTTAACAAAAGATATCAGAGCTTACATTTGTATTTATGCAACATATTTGGAAAATATTTGAAAAAGAATAAACTATTTCACAGAAGGGATAATAATTTTGCCTTTAACTGTATGTAATATGTAATGCATATACAGTGCTCGGCATAATTAAGTACACCCCATTTTGAAAATGATTAATTTTTTGTATTTAATATTGTATTTTATATGTAATTTGCATTTAATATTTTTCAATAACATATACATTTGGGTGTACTAGTTTTTGGACCAATATCAAAAGTTATTTTGTTAGATAAGCTCCAGATTTGGCTTCAGTACTGACTAATCTAAAGCATATGCACAAATATAATATTGCATAGCTTCCTATTATAAATATGAATTTAAATGATAGATTTGTGAGGGGTGTTCTTATATGTGCTAAGCGCTGTATGTATTTGTGATGCATAACAAACAAGCAATAAAATACAAAATAATTTATTTGATTAATTAAATAATTTAATGTTAAAACAAAGTGTATGATGTTAAATATTTCAAACAGCTTAGAGAAATGTCCAAATATGTATAATGTTCAATGGACATTAATAAAATGAAACAACATACTTCTTAGACTGGTAGTTGTTAAAATGTGTAACTAAATATTTGATCATACCAAACTGTGTTGTATTTTTAAACAATTTTCATTTTCTTCTAAAACACTTTTGCTAGGTAAAACATGTGCTTAAAGGGAATGTGGAAATTACTTAATTAGTGTTTGGACTTGCGCAGTTACTGTTGAAAAATTTATTAAGATTTTTTTTAAATATAAAATATTGTTACAACAACTGCCTTTTTTGGGGGGTGTTTTTTCTAAATAATGCTAACATAAGTTCCATGACACTCAATCCTTTTTTAAGACTGAAGTTGTTTTTTTAATTGCTTAAAACCCATTTTACAGCCATATATATTTACAGTTGTGGACAAAAGTATTAGAACACTAGGATTTTTTCATTCATTCATTCAAATTCTATCGCTTTTACAGGGCCGGGTCTTAGGAGAAAACCCCAGACTTCCCTCTCCTCAGACACTTCCTTCAGCTTATCCAGGGGGGGATCCCGAGGCGTTTCAAGGCCAGCTGAGAGATAAAGTTCCTCCAGTGTGTCCTGGGTTTCCTGGCCTCCTCCCGGTGGATAAGGCTTGGAACACCTCCCTAGGTAGGTGTCCAGGAGGCATCTCAAACAGATGCCCGAGCCACCTCAACTGGCTTTTCTCGATGTGAAGGACCAGCGGCTCTACTTCGAGCTCCTCCCGGGTGACAGAGCTGCTCACTCTATCCATTAGGGTGCGCCCTGCCACCTTGCCACTTTGCGAAGGAATCTTATTTCAACCGCTTGTATCTGAGATCTTGTCCTTTCGGTCATGAGCTTTGGGTGAGAGTAGGAATGTAGATTGACCGTTAAATTGAGAGCTTTGCTTTTCGGCTCAGCTACTTCTTCACTACAACGGATCGGTACATCAACCGCATTACTGCTGCAGGTGCACCAATCCGCCTGTCAATCTTACGTTCCATCCCTCCCTCACTCGTGAACAAAACCCCAAGATACTTGAACTCCTCTACCTGGGGTAAGGAAGTTTCTCCAATATGGAGATGGCAAACCACCTTTTTCTGGTGGAGCACCATGACCTTGGACTTGGTTCCCATCCCAACCGCATCACACTAGGCAGAAAACTGCCCAAGTGTTTGCTTAAGTTCCATGTTCGATGAAGCCAAAAGAACAATATCGTCTGCGAATAACAGAGATTAAATCCTGTTGTCCTCGAACCGGCTGTGCATTTAAATTCTTTCCATAAAACTTATGAACAGAATTGGTGACAAAGGGCAGCCCTGCTGGAGTCTAACATGCACTTGAAACAAGTCATTGCCGGCAATGCGAACCAGATTCCTACTCTGTTCATACAGCGATGAGACAGCCCTTAACATAGCGCCTCTTACCCCATACTCCCAGAGCACCCTCCGCAGAATGCCACGAGGGACACGGTCGAATGCCTTCTCCAAGTCCACAAAACACACGTGGACAGGTTGTGCATCCATGAACCCTCAAGCACCCTGGTGAGGGTATATAGCTGGTCTAATGTACCACAGCCTGGACGAAAACCGCATTGTTCCTCCTGGATCCTAGGTTCATCCTAAGACTTTCAACAGCTAAAAATGGTTTCAAGTCAGCTATTTCTGTCTTTTGCTTAGCCGTAATAATTAAGTGGGATTTTTTATGCAAAAGGTAGGTTTCTTTGAGTATTAAAAAATATTAAAAAAAAACTAAATACTGTAGGTTACTGTATATAGTATTATTAGCTCTCCTGCTAATTTTTTGATCAAATATTTCCCTCACACAGTCTCCATTTTATCAGTTTGGCTGGAATTAACGCAGTTTTTGGCTACGATTGGCTACAGAACAAACCATTGTTGTCAAATAAATCTAATGAACCTAACTTGCCTACAAAAGTAAACCAGCCAAGCCTCTAAATTGCACTATAAGCTGAATATCTTGCAAAATAAGCAGTCAAATATTATGTACTGTTATCATGGCAAAGACAAATAATATTAGTTATTACAAATTAATTATTAAAACCATTGTTTAAAAACGTGTTCTTTTCTTTTTCCAACTTCAATTTGTTGTAAATTCATGATTTCTTTTATTAGATTCATGTTTTTCTTTTATTCTTCTGCAGATACGTACATGAATTATGTTCACAAAGTAAATCTAATCTTTGTTTGATTCACTGTTTGCTGCAGAAAGCCTTGTCAAAAGCCTGTCACAGTTTAAAGAAAAGATTTATCATTTTGTGTCATTTCAGTTGCCTTTTTTGAAGAATCTATCCAGAGTTCTTTAACATCATTTGCACCATTTGATGAAAAATATTTAGTAGACAGTGAGCACAGAGCTTATCTAATTTCTTTATGTAATGCAAACAACAAAAAATAAATCATTATATGTTGTACAGTTTTAGAATAATCACTCAATTCTAATCTGCCCATATTGCACTAGACGAGATGGTTGTCACTGACTATTAGGCCCAATCCCAATTCCACCCCTTAGCTCTTTCCCTTACCCCTACCCCTCGTTTTGCGCGTACTGGTGAGGGGGTAGTGGTGTCCCAATTCTCTTTAGCTTGAAGGCATAGGGCTAAGGGCAAGGGGTATACACCCCTTCAAACGAAGACTTTTTAGGACCACACTTGAAACCAAGGGGTAGAAAAAATTCCCAGAATACTCAAGCAACAGCTGCACCCGGAAGTAAGGAGATCCACAAATTCGTATTTTTTGTCATTACAATGAATTTTTACAATAAACAAACACATGTTTTAATATATTCATAACAGCGTTCATGTTTTACCGTCATGCTTTTTAAAAAAAACTAAAATAAAAAACGCTAAATTTCGCGATCTATAATCCCTAATCATAACTCCTGTACAGGTGTCCCACAACTTTCTGACACTCGATGACACTGGAATAACCTATCAGAAAAGTTTAGTGGCTGTCAATGAGCTTTTTTTACACTGTGTGCTATAATGTTAATGCTGTTTTTGTGTGTTTACATTGATGAGTATGGCCACTGTGTAAATGCACAGTACAGTTACGATCTTATTGCCACATTAGATCGCTATGATAACATTATATATGCCTTCAGTGATTTTCTGAAGATAAATACCAAAAAATTACACAACTGGAATAACTACAGCAGTCGCCATCATCTGATCTCATATGAAGCAATAGATCCCAAGGACATATGATGACGTGTGCAGGCACTCTAGTGTTGTCCCAATTCTTAGGGGTACATTTTGAAGCCCTTCCCCTTAACCCTCGGTTGTAAGGCCCAAGGGGAAGGGCAAGGAGTAGGGGTACAAAAAAAGAATTGGAATTGGGCCTAAGACTAGATTAGATTTAACTTTATTGTCTTTAAACATGTCAAAGGCAACAAAATGTAGTTTAGTTTTGTTCTGCTGCTTTCTCCAGCCTCCAGCGCCTAGACTGCAGCTCTGCACAAGAAGCTTGGTAAGAGGTGAAATGGTCATGCCCAACTGAGCCTGGTTTCTCTCTTGGTACTAAACTTGGTACTAAACTTGGTACTAAACTTGGTAAAGTGGCACAGTAGGTAGTGCTGTCGCCTCACAACCAGAAGGTCGATGGGTCGCTGGTTTGAACCTCGGCTCAGTTGGCATTTCTGTGTGGAGTTGCCTTTGTCTCCTTGCCTTCGCGTGGGTTTCCTCCGGGTGCTCCGGTTTCCCCCACAGTCCAAAGACATGTGGTACAGGTGAATTGGGTAGACTAAATTGTCCGTAGTGTATGAGTGTGTGTGTGTGTGTGAATGTGTGTGTTAATGTTTCCCAGAGATGGGTTGCGGCTGGAAGGGCATCCGCTTTGTAAAAACTTGCTGGATAAGTTGGCGGTTCATTCCGCTGTGGCGACCCCGGATTAATAAAGGGACTAAGCCGACAAGAAAATAAATGAATGAATGAAAGTTTAGTTTCCTGCCACTGTTGCCACTGGCTTGCTTGGTTTGGAACTTGTGGAGCTGCACATCAATAAATTTGTTCTTCTGTTTTTGGACTTTCAGCAGTGAAATTTAAACTAAACTGAACTTCAACTGTGAAAACTGGACTGACAATTTCAATATACTAGAACTTCTATGTTACGCTGCTTTGACACAATCTACATTGTAAAAGCGCTATACAAATATAGATTATTGCATTAAACTAAGTTTCATTCTTATGCCACAAGCCTCATAGACGGCAGCCTTCAAATTGAAAGCAACCAATAAACTCTGAATCAAACTCTGGATTTCACAGGCATTGGTTTGTTTTATTTTGCTAACCCTTAAAGACTGAAACAGCCGCTCGTGGCTAAAAAGTGTGCAAAGTGCTGGTCTTGCTGTTTTCAAAGGACGCAAATGACGGTGCGGCTTTTTGTCTGCAACGCAAAAGTTGAGAAGCAGCAGGGTCAACACCATATACTGGCACATAAAACCTAAGGATGGAATCTAGTTTAGTTATGTAACTATTTATAGTATAGTAAATATTTATATCTAAGTTTTTACTGAGGATTTGCACCATTTTTATTTGGACTTTGACGCATTATTTATTATTTATTATTTTTTATTTGTTTATTATGTGTGTTGGTGTTGTTTATGGTAACTGAAAATATATTATTTGGAAAAAGTCAAACTTGCTTCAGTGTTCTGTTATTTTGTAACAATCTTTCTGTTTAGTTCATTCCCAGAACTTTTGGGCAAATACATTTTCAGTAAATAAATGCACTAGTTTTTTCCCACTGAAAAACGCCTTAGAATAACATTGAAATAAATTGCTATAACTTGCTCAGGGAAAGGTGGATGTAGACAAAATGTATTTTGAAAGTATAAAACATCATAGCATGTATTTCTAAACAAAAAAAAAAACCTTCATGAGGTTTTGTTTGTAATAACTAGAAAATGCCAGTTTTTTTAAAAAAATGTTTTTTTTATTTTCTGTCTGTTCATATGTTTTTGGAATAAAAATATTTTAGACTGGACCTTTAAATGATACAGATTGAAGCTTGTCTAGGTTGTCCTGTTTAAAATAATTTATGACACTTGAGGCTGACTGCTAAAATAACAATAAAACCGGTTTAAAAAATAATAATAATATAGGCCCATTAGGTGCCCACAAAATACTTTTAGGTCTTTAAGGGTTCATTCCAAACTTGCCCTACAATCAAATTCACTAAATAGAGCACAAACTTAAAGATTCCTGTCATTAAACAAAAAAATTTTGACCTGTGTCATGCGCCATGTAAGTACTGAAAAGATGAAAACATATTTGCAGTGTTTGTCTCACCTGCGTGTGTTGTTGGTGTTACATGGGCACTTCCTGTCACACTTAAGGCCATATTGACCATCCGGACAAATGCGCTCCTCACAGCTTTCTCCGGTGTATCCCTGCTCGCACAAACATGCTCCACTCACATGATAGCACTGAGCGCCATTTACACAGCGACATGCCTGGCTGCAGCCGATACCATATGTGCCAACCTGGCACTGATCTTGGCACCTGTCAACATATGTCAATCACAACATGTTAATTATCCAAGTCTCTGATTTTAATAAGGTGTTTGCTCTCTGTTAACATGACTGAAATTGAAACTAATGAAACGAAGGATTGTTTTTAATTTAAATTAATCTAGTATAACTTCTAAATTTATGTTAGTTGATGATAAGAATATGTGTTATATCCCTCTACAGGATTTGTCATTCTGATGATGATTGCATGTTTATTTGACACAGAAATGTAGTTTTGAAAGATGAACTAAGGATTTTGAGCAAGAGACAAGTAATCCTGTTTTGCAGGTAATCCATGGTGTTTTGCGATTTGTACACAATGTTTTGAGAAATTGAGTTCTGTTTTGCACATTTTGAGAAATGTACCGACCGAGAAAAACTGCAATGCATAAGAGTAAATGAAGAATTCAGATTTTAAAAACTGTTATTTCAGTTTTGCAGGCAATTAAAAGAACCTAACCTACAGTATAGCTTAGTCATAAAAGTGAAATTACTTAAAGGGGTGGTCCAGAAAGTAATAAAAAAAAAAAAAAAAAACGGAAATCACATTATTTTTTCATAAATCTTACTTAGACGCATGTAACACAAGAAGCGCATGTGCACGGGACTGATGTTTCTTTTTCTTTGATGCTCGAATTAAGTTATTTTCTTAATATACAGTGACACTGTTGACAGAAGAATGAAGCATAAGATGTGGACTGCGACCTGTGTGAGCCTTGACTGATTTTTCTGCAGCTACAAGAGTTAGGCAAGCTCTTCTCTATTTTTTTTATCTCAATGCGTTACACAACGTCTTTTACACATATCTGGAATATGCCTGTGTAAGTAATATGAATCGTTTACATATCTTTTGCGACTTCATTATCTGAGATGTAGAACACAGGAAAAGCCACCTATAGAGAGACATGCACAGTCGCACACGCATAGAGAGACATGCTGGTGAAGAGTGTGTGTGTGTGTGTGTGTTTACAGCGGATTGACTGATAAATATGAATTTGTAGCTAAATAGTTAGCAGTGCCAAACAGCATTTCCCATTGTTTACATCTTTGCAACAGCATACCATTAACGCTAGTCACTGTACATGTCATGTTCAATTTTAACAAATAAAAACACAGGTTGTGGCTTAGAGTTCACAGCTTCTTCTTGTTGTAGCTGCTCCTTTCTTCGAGGAGATTTTAACCAAATCCAGCAGTGAACTGGGAGAGATTTTGAAAGCTGTGTTTTGTCAAATCATGCTTGCTATGTGTTTTATAATTCTCTGGAACATAATTAATATTGAACTGTGAGCACTTCTGTCTTTGTGTCGTGTCATTTGGAAGCCTAAATACAGAAACAGAAGAAGCTCTGTGGAAACAGCAGCGTTTGGACGCCATTTTAGCTCTCTCTGCTGTAACATTACAACGCCTCTTTCCACACCCCTTAGCTGCACAGTGTGTGCGCGCGGTAAAAGTACCTTTGTGATCTCACTGGCTCGGAAGTATTTTTTGTAGTTCTTAAAGTTCGTTCATTGTAGGCTTTGCTAAGCGAACTTTGTAAAAACCAAGGTCTGGATGTTGTTTATGTTTACACAGCTACATTACACATCAACTAAAGTTTAAAATATGAAATCATAGGTGGACCACCCCTTTAACCTAAACACAGTAATCTCTCATGAAATGGTAATTTTAGACGCAAATTTTAGATGGCACTTTTTGCATCTGAACCCTGAAATTTAATGCAATTTTTGACTGTGTTTTTGTAGTTGAATCATTTCTTATTGCTACTTTAATTGTCTCAATGCATCAAGTTCAGTATTTTTCTGTAAGTAGCAAGCAATGGGAGCACCAAATGATAGCTGAAAGAAACGCTACGGCACATGCACACATGAAAGAGTGTAAGATAACTGATTGTATTGCACGCTGTGATATTTCAGAGAAACCTCACTCAACACCACTAATGTCACATATCTCCATTCAGTGATTACAAATCTTACAAACCATTTATCACAAACCTCTGAGTTACTCCCAGAGTCCTCCCAGATGCAGAGTAAACTGAATATGTCAACTGGAAAGTTTCAAAAAACAATTTTGGTAACACTTTAGAATAATTATCCGTTATAACTAGTTAATACATAATTAATAAGCTGTTAGTTAATGGGTTATAAAAGACTTGTTAAATAATAGGTTATAGTTCATTTATAACTGTGCCTTATAGATAACCAATAGACAACTGGTATTATTAGATAGTAAACAAACTATGAACAACTGATCTGTAAAGTGTGAGTTGATAAATTAGTCAAGTGCTTATGTATGTTATTGGGACAATATTCTAAAGCTGCAACTATTCCTCATTTACTAACAGTTAATAAATGAAGAGTAGTTGCAACTTTAGAATAACGTCCCAATAACATATATAAAGTACTAACTGATACTTAACAAGTCTTTATTAAGCAATTCACTAAAAGCTTGTTCATAATTGTAACGAGGAGTCTGACACAGAGGGATCCATTTGCAGTATATTTATTAAGCACAGTTTAATAACAAGCACACAGTATGCACTAGTGTGTGAACTCACATCAAATGCAGTAATACAAGGGCGATAGGCTGGTGGCTGGCAATCAAGGATCGTAATGGCAGGCATGGGTCAGAGGCAGGCGGCGTGGATCTAAGTCGATATGCAAGGCAGAGTTCAAGGCAGGCGGCAGGCAAGGCAAGGTCAAGGGACAGTCCGGGTTATAATGAGGAGATCAGGCAAGGATATGGAACGCTCAGAAATGTCAGCAAGGCAGAACAAGACTTCGCACTGGAGTGAGTGTTTGGGCTGCTTATATGTGTGTGTGTGGGTGATCAGTGTGATGTGCATCAGGTGTGTTGCAATCAGTGTCTGAGGATGATGTAATGCTAATAGTCCGGCAATGACAACCTCTGCTGGCCAGCAAGGGGAATGACTGGGACCGAGTCGGTGACAATGATCTATTACTAATTTATTACGTACAGTTATAAATCATTAAAATACAGTTAACAAGTCGTTTATAACTTGTTAATTAACAGCTTGTGAGTTATATATTGGCTACCTATAAGGCACAGTTATAAATAATTAACAACTATAAGAAACCTTTTGATGTCTTTGACAATTCAAACATGAGCCGAAAACAGAGACAATTGACTTCACAACTCAGCAGGTAGGAATGCGGGAAAGAACCAGCTCCCCCTACATTTACATTTGAATCCCCTGAAACTCAACTTCAACCACCCCAGCTCACACAGAAGGGTCATTTTAAAGTCTGAATGTTCAAAATTAACCCAAGTGACTTTCTTTATCATGTTATATATCATTTGAAATGTCTTGGTCCAATGGTACAATGGTCTCATTCCCTCAGAAATAGACATAATCAAAACAATGAATATATAACTTCAGGTATCTTTTGAACCACTGTGAAGGGTGTGCCTTTTCTATAGGCAGAAACTCTTCCACTAAATGCAAATGCCCTTTGTTATTTACACACCCCTTTCCTTGGGGGGATTCTTTGATTACTTAAGGGAGGTTTGAAAAATGTTCGGCGCGATTCTGCTTACCCAGATCAGCCCTTAACATGGAGCCTACACTCCATGTTATGTAGATGTTTAAGTCAGGTATGCATCTTTTAATCTTGGATTTATCTTTGAGAATTTCATGTCTTATATTAATCGTTTATAAATTAACTAAATGAATTGGCACAATACACATTTACCTGATAAATAAATTGTTATGTTTTGAATTATTCAAACAGAGTTTGTGTTATTACCCGTAGTAGATTACAGTAATTCCATAACACCACAAGCTCCTGTACAGGTTAGTAACGGACTACAACACGGTAAACGGAGCAGCGTGGCACGCTATACGATGTCTTTAGCGATCCGACTAACACATTTGCATTAATTCATGATACTTAGACTGTAAAAGGTTATCTAAGGGGATAGATCTTCATCTGTTAAACTTATAATACTACTTAGATAGTATAGTGATTACTCAAAGTTACAAATATTTTAAGTACGACTGGTCTGCTTAATTCTATAGTAATGATCATTATATGACTAAATAGCTCTGTTTGATTTAGGAGATAGCAGCTCTATGGGGACCGCATAAAAAATATCCTAATCTGAGTAAGTAGGGTTCTGCCTTTTTAGGATAGCGGTCAATTGCCACTGTTTAGTGACCAAGATTGACACGCTTGTGCTTAAGAAATTGTATACTCGGCCGGTAGAAGATTCAGGATGTTGTAGGAATCCGAATGAACGGGAATAACATAAAATGATGAACCGAAGAGAATATTCAATCATAATCTAAAATGATGTTGAAGGAAACAAAATAATCTTATCAATGTTTTATAATTGGAGTCAGATAAAACGAGGATAAATATATTAATATTCTAAACCACCTCATACTAAAATTGAAGTCAGAAATGAGTTAAGTTTAAAGTAAATCAACATTGTGCACTGGAAAGACCGAACAGGTATTGAACCTTCATCCACCAGTGGACACCGTCATTGGACCAACTGTCTGGACCTTACACAACCTATTAACTTTTGTTTAACAAGTCATTTATAACCCATTAATTAACAGTTTATTAATGGACTATTAACTAGTTATAACGGATAGTTATTTTAAAGTGTTACCCCCTTGCAATTGCTTTTGAGTTTCTCTTTTAAAATGTGATTAAAGGGGTTATTCATTACATAAGCAGCAGCAAAAGAATCTAAAGAATGTAACATCTGCTTTGTGTTGTGTTGTCTGCGCTCATAATGAAGCTTCTATCAGTCCCTGAGGAGCAGAGTTTAGTAATAGAACAATTTCAACATGTCGCAAGGTCATGCTTATCTACACTTGTAGCTGATGTGTTCAACAATCAGAAAACATCCTGAATCCAAATCTGTGCATGAGAGAGATGCTAATCAGAGACTGATTTTCTGTTCAGTATCCCACTAATAACCTCTCGCATGCAGAGCCTGGCACTCTCTTTGAATCTCAACCACTTAAACACACACACACACATGCACACACACATAAGCGGGCTCCTCCCTGCGGCTGTTAAGCGATCATTCTGCAGCCGCTAGGGTGTGGTGAAATCAGGGTAAACCGGAGGTAACAGTGACGTCTGGTGAAACCAAAGCACTTATTAAGTCATAAAAATGCACTTGCGTTTCTATTTCTGCAGTTTAAATACATGCTGCATGCTCACTCATACTGTAATTACACATTCTGCTGCTGCTGGATGAGAAACAACTGCTGCATTGATTTATCTGCATGCATATGATTAAATGCCATTCTGACAATGTCAGTGACACTGACTATAGAGCATAAGGGGAATCAGCACACTCAGCTGTATTTCTAATGTTTTTAAGGTATCCTGTGTGATGTTTGTTCACTGTGATAAATAGTCTGATGAATAATGGCATTATAATGTAATCTTACAGCATAAACAAACTCTCCCACCCCACAATTTCAATACCATAGCAAACCTAATCCAGTGGAAACTTTAGACATTCTGTATTACAATCATAAACTACAAAAGACTACAAAACTTTAGGTCGACTTATTGTTTATGTCTGTTTGACATTTTTCAGGTAGATGAATTCAAGTAAGAAATGTCACAGATATACATACTATATTTGTATATACTACAGATATATATCTTAAGCAAATTTACTACGGAAGAGAATGTTGTTCACAGGTTTAACATCTGCAGAAATTACAGCAATACAGAACTGGTTTACACTGCACGAGTCTAAGTGTAAAAAAACAAGGATTGCAAGGATTGTATAATGTTTATCTTTTCTATATATTTTTTTAATGCTTTATTAATTATTTATTATTGCCTCACAGCAAGAAGGTCGCTGGTTTGAGTTCCTGCTGGTTCTCCATGTGTTCGCGTAGGTTTTCTCCGGGTGCTCTGGTTTCCAAAGTCCAAAGACATGCAGTATAGGTGAATTGAATGACCTAAACTGGCCGTAGTGTATAAGTTTGTGTGAATGTGTGTTTATGGGTGTTTCCCAGTACTGGGTTGAAGCTGGTAGGGCATCCGCTGCGTAAAACATATTTTTCACAGACTTTTCTCGGGGGATCGGTAAGTGAAGAGCGGGTGCTCCCTATGGCCATTAGACTGGGGATAAAGGGGTGGACTCACCCGTCACCTTAGCTGAGGTCACTGAGGTAGTTTGCAAGCTCTGGATGGATGAGATTCAACCTGTGTATCTTAGGTCTCTGAATGTTGTAGGGCTGTCTTGGCTGTCACGTCTCTGCAATATTGCATGGAGGTTGGGGACAGTAGCTCTGGACTGGGCAACTGGGGTGATGGTTCCCATTTTTAAGAAGGGGGACCGGAGGGTGTGCTCCGACTATAGAGGGATCACACTCCTCAGCTTCCCAGGGAATGTCTATGCCTGGTTACTGGAGAAGAGGATCCGGCCAGTGGTTGAACCTAGTATCCAGGAGGAACAACGCAGTTTTTGTCCAAGCTGTGGTACAGTGGACCAGCTTTATACCCTCACCAGAGTGCTCGAGGGATCATAGGAGTATGCCCAACCTGTTTACATGTGTTTTGTGTCCCTCATGGCATTCTGTGGGGGGTGCTTTGGGAGTACGGGGTTAGAGGCCATCTCGTCCCTGTATGAACAGAGTAGGAGTCTGGTTTGCATTGCTGGCAATTAGTCAGACTTGTTTTCTGTGAATGTTGGACACCAGCAGGGCTGCCCTTTGTCACCAATTCTGTTCATAATCTTTATGGACAGAATTTTAAGGCGTAGTCTTGGGCTGGAGGAAATCTGGTTCGGAGACCTCAGGAATTTATCTCTGTTATTCGCAGATGATGTTGTTCTGTTGGCTTCATCGAACATGGACCTTCAGCATGCACTGGGGCAGTTTGCTGCCGAGTGTGATATGGTTGAGATGAGAATCAGCACCTCCAAGTCTGGGGCCATGATGCTCCACCGGAAAAAGGTGGTTTGCCATCTCCAGGTTGGAGAAATGTCCTTACCCCAGGTGGAGAAGTTCAAGTATCTTGGAGTTTTGTTTATGAGTGAGGGAAGGACGGAACGTGAGATTGACGGACGGATTTGTTGCAGCGGCAGCAGTAATGGGGTCAATGTACCAGTCTGTTGTGGTGAAGAAGAAGCTGAGCCGAAAGGCAAAGCTCTTGATTTAACGGTCAATCTACATTCCTATTCTCACCTATGGTCATAAGCTTTGGGACAAGATCTCGGATACAAGTGGCCGAAATGAGTTTCCTTTGCAGGGTGGCAGGATCCTTATGGACAGGGTGAGGAGCTCTGTCACCCAGGAGGAGTTTGGAGAAGAGCCACTGCTCTTCCACAATGAGAGAAGTCAGCTGAGGTGGCTCGGGCATTTGTTTCGGATATCTCTGGACGCCTACCTAAAGAGGTATTCCAGGCATGTCCCACCGGGAGGAACCATTGGGCAAGACCCAGGACAGGTTGAAAGGACTATGTCACTCTGGCTGGCCTTGGAACACCTCGGGATTCCCCCGAAGGAGCTGGAGGAACCGTCTGGGGTAAGGGAAGTCTGGCGTTCTCTCATAAGACTGCTGCTCCTGCGACCCGGCCCCGGAAAAGCGGTAGAAATTGAATGCAAGAATGAATGAATGAATGATTAATTGTAATGTTGTTCCAGGACCAACATACTGTAGATGTAAATCCAGGATTATGTCCTACTAGGTGAAATCCGGTTGGTGGTTTAACTATATGATGGCTGAAATGGCCTTAAATAATAACTAAATGCACTACAGAATGTTGTGTTTATACAATCATCCACAAATCACATCAAAAGGAATCAGCTTTTTACAATATGGTACTGACTACTCATACTCATACTTTAAATAATATTTAAAACAGATACTTTTACACCACTTGCACTACATTTTAGAACAAGTAAGGGTACTTTTTTCCTTGTATGATTTTTCAGTACTTTTTCCACCACTGGCTATACTGCATGTCTTTGAACTGTGGGGGAAACCAGAGCACCCAGAGGAAACCGACACAAACACAGGGAAAACATGCAAACTCCACATGGAACTGCCACCTGGCCAAGCCTTGACTCGTACCAGCAACCTTTGTGCTGTGAGGTGACACTGAGCCACAATACTGCTCAGCAAAAAATAAAAAATAAATGTATTTCTTTTTTTAACTATTAAAGCAGCTTATTTTTGTAGCTTATTTCATTCTGTTCAACAGTTGCATTAGGGCTACATCTTGTACTGACCTCTCTCCTGTGTATCCTGAACTGCACACACACTGTCCTGTGGATGGCGAACAGATTCCTCCATTATGACACTGACACTCCTGTGAGCAGTTCTTACCAAAGCGTCCCGTCGGACAGGGTTGTCCACACACCATTCCCTGAAAGTAACATCAATACACTGACATAATGGATAATGGAATGTTTCCTCCAATGCAAAGACATTTCATAATGACTGCAATAATAGTGCCAAACATGATGAAACTATATAACTTATAAATTTCAGTTTTAATATTTACGAGAGCCACATTCAGAACTGTAACAGCCAGGCGTACCATCCAACCAGCAGGACAGGAACATTCTCCAGTCACATGATGACACACACCACCGTTCTGACAGGGACAACGCTCCTCACATTGCTGTCCATGTTTTCCCGGAGGGCACAAGTCCTCACAGCTGCACAGAGACACCAAAACATTTATGCATTTACCAGTCTAACTTAAATTAAAGGTATCGGTTTAGTTCCCATGGCCACGGTATTTCCAACACCATCTTCTATTGTTTGCAAAAAAAAATGCAGGTAAACTTACAATGCTCCTGTGTATCCTGGACTGCACACGCATTCGCCTGTGATGTGGTGGCATGTAGCATTATTCTGGCACAGACATTTCTGTTGGCAATTGTTGCCATAAGTGGAATGGTCACAGAGGTCTTCACATCGCCAGCCATGGTACCCGGGTGCACATATGCACGCTCCAGTGATGGGGTTACACAGCGCCTCGTTCTTACACTGACACCGGCTACTGCAGTGTGGGCCCCAGTGATCACGGTCACACGCTGCACAAAGACACAAAGCTGATTTTCACTTCTATGACAAAAGTCTGTACGCCATAGTGATTAGTCAGTGCTTTACCATGATTTTCCAATTGTAATAATACACACAGCACGATGAGCACAGTTTTCATGCCTGAAGCAGGTTGTAAGACATGAGATATCACAAATATTTGATGTCTTCGACAATTCAAACATGACCCAAAAACAGAGACAATCGACTCCACAACCCAGCAGGTGGGAATGGGGGAAAAACCAGCTCCCCTCCATTCCTCCTTTTACATTTGAAAAATTTCTGAACTTACACAGAATGGTCATTTCAAAGTCTGTCTGTTCCAAATCAACCCAAGTGACTTTATCAATCATGTTTGATATCATTTGAAATGTCTCAGTGCGACTGGTACAATGGTCTCATTCCCTCAGAAATAGACATAATCAAAACAATAAATATATAACTTCAGGTATCTTTTCTTCAGGCAGAAACTCTTTCACTAAATGCAAATGCCTTTTTGTTATTCACACACCCCTTTCCTTGGAGGGAATTATTGGATTTGTTACTTGAGGGAAGGTTTCTAAAATGTTCGGCGCAATTCTGTTATCCAGATCAGCCCGTAACATGGAACTTCATGTTCTACGCTATGTATATGTTGAAGTCAGGTATGCATCTTTTAATCTTGGATTTATCTTTGAGAATTTGATTTCTTATATTAATCGTTTATGAATTGACTGAATGAATTGGCATAATACACATTTACCCGGCTAATAAATTATGTTTTGAATTATTCAAACAGAGTTTGTGTTATTATCTCTAGTACATTGCATTAAGTCCATAACACCACAAGCCTCTGTACAGGTTAGTAACGGACTTAAAGACGGTAGACGGAGCATCGTGGCATGCTATACGATGTTCTTAGAGCTCCGACTAACACATTGGCATTAATTCATGTACTGTATACTTAGACTGTAAAAGATTATCTAAGGGGATAGATCTTCATCTGTTAAACTGTTAAACTTATAATACTATTTGGATAGTATAAAGATTACTAGGGAATCTGCGAACGTTTTTGCTATTTTTGCGGAGTGTTTGGGTAAAAGTCTGCAGATTTCTGCGGAATTATTTTGGGAGTATCATAACCAAAACTTTAATATATGAAATAAAAAAGAATATTTTTGAACTTTTATTTAATGTTTAAAATGCAAATCCAATTAGATTCACTTTATTTGGTAAAGCAAGTCTCTAATATAACATATCTACTAAAAGAGTATTATCGACTAAAAGATAATACTGTACAAACAGCATTGTACATAAATCAGATGAACATTTTCACATTAAGTACGACTGGTCTGCTTAATTCTACAGTAATGATCATTATATGACTAAATAGCTCTGTTTGATTTAGGAGATAGCAGCTCTATGGGGACCGCATAAAAAATATGCTAATCTGAGTAAGTAGGGTTCTGCATTTTTAGGATATCGGTCAATCGCCACTGTTTAGTGACCAAGACTGACACGCTTGTGCTTAAGAAATTGTATAGTCGGCCGGTAGAAGATTCAGGATGTTATAGGAATCCGAATGAACGGGAATAACATAAAATACTGAACTGAAGAGAATATTCAATCATAATCTAAAATAATGTTAAAGGAAACAAAATAATCTTATCAATGTTTATAATTGGAGTCAGATAAAACGAGGATAAATATATTAATATTCTAAACCACCTCATACTAAAATTGGAGTCAGATATGAGTTAAGTTTAAAGTAAATCAACATTGTGCACTGGAAAGACCTGGACACTGGACACCTACATTGGACTAACTGGCTTGACCATAAAAGGTTTTGACCTTTTATATACAGAGCGTATAATCAAGCTGGAAAGGTAATTGGTGTTTCATTCACATCTGAGGTGGCCCTGAACAAGGCAAGTGTATGCTCACAAGTGTGTGCACTTGTATGGGCTAATTGAAAAAGACTAATTTTGAGTATGGGTAAAACCATACTTGATCCACCAATTACTATGGCATCTGTTTTATGCAGCGAATGCCCTTCCAGCCGCAACCCAGCACTGGGAAACCCTCTCATTCACACACACACACACACACACACACACTCATTCATTCATTCATTCATTTTCTTGTCGGCTTAATCCCTTTTTTAATCTGGGGTCGCCACAGTGGATTGAACCGCCAACTTATCCAGCACTTTTTAAGCAGCCCTTCCAGCCACTACTTTTATTTCTTTCTATAGCTGGTAGTCTCAGACACCTCAAATGTGTCAAATTTGTATATTTTATATATTTATATATAGCCTTTATATACAGTTGAAGTCAGAATTATTAGCCCCGTTTATTTTTTTTTCCCAATTTCTGTTAAACGGATAGCATATTTTTTCAACACATTTTTAATCTCAATAGTTTTAATAGCTCATTTCTAATAACTGATTTATTTTATCTTTGCCATGATGAGAGTAAATAATATTTGACTCTATATATTTTAAAGACTCTTCTATACAGCTTAAAGTGACATTTAAAGGCTTAACTTAGGTTAACTAGGCAGGTTGGGGTAATTAGACAAGTTTTTGTATAACGATGGTTTGTTCTGTAGACTATCAAAATAAAATATAGCTTAAAAGGGGCTAATCATTTTAACCTTAAAATGGTTTATAAAATTTAAATAAACTGCTTTCATTCTAGCTGAAATGAAACAAATAAGACTTTTTTCCAGAAGAAAAAAATATTATCAAACATACTGTGAAAATTTCCTTGCTCTGTTAAACATAATTTAGGAAATATTTAAAAAAAGAATAAAAGAAAAAAATTCAGTTGGGGGCCAATAATTAGACATAATAATAAGACAGACAGTGTGACCAACAGTATTTATTAATAATCTGTTAGTTGATCAATCGGTCTTGTGCATATTTTACAAGCCTGCTTGCAACACTAAATATGAATTATGTAACACTGAAGAAAAAAAACTAAAAAGACCATTCGGTTTTGCAAAAAAAAAACAGAAGCAAGCAAATCTCATCCTGAATGTAGCCAATTATAAACAGCTCAAATCAAATCTTACACTTTCAGTTCCATTTAATCACTAAAATATGACAGCCTTTACATCTCACTTTCACACTGTCGTCAATGAGGCACTTTCGTCTGTAGTTCAGTGACCCTCTTGCTCCACCAACAGCATTAGGAAAATATGAAGCATGGAAGTTCATAATCCCACAGCTGTGTATTAGTGCTCAGAGAAATGGCTGAACAACTGTTTTCAAAGAATAACTTTTCCACAACTGGCTTTTGCAAATCTCACTATACTCTACACACTAGACTTTTCCGATCATTCTAAAGCTTGAGATTAAACATGACTGTGATTCTAATAAAAAAAATACTTACATCTGTTGTCTCTAAATGACTTTTCAGCCTTAACACATTGTTGAAGCTGCAGTATAAACATTTACAGCTACAAATACGTTTTCCACTTTTAGAATGACACACTGAAACATTTAAAAGATAAACATTATTATATTTTTATAGTTTAAAAAGCAAAATATTTACAAATATTTGAAATCATGACAATTCTTTTGTAGATAAACTTTTTTACTTTTCATTCATTAATTTTCCTTCAACTTAGTCCCTTATTTATCAGGTGTAGATACGGTGGAATCAACCACCTTTATAATACTATAAAAAATGTATTTATGTTTAAGATGTTTTAACATTGCCCAGAAACTTAAACATAACCGTTTTGCAATTAAAATACTTGGAACTTAGTACAGAAGGAAGTGTAATTGTTTCATATTAACCCTCGATCCTGCCATGTTCCTTAAACATCTTAAAACATTTTCTTAAACATTTTCTCTGTGATTCTGTACCGTTGTTGCACAACTTTGACCTGAGGCAATGAAAAAAATTGGGGATGGTAACTGTCCAAAAAAAAATCTATATACTAAAAATCAATCCCAAATGAACCTGAAAATAATGTATTTTTTTATCATTCATCATCAAAACGTGTACTGTAAACAGAGACAGTAAGTAAATAAATAAACTGCATTAAACAATTGTTATTGTAAACATAATTCCACTGATATTACAACAACGATGTCAGAAATGCAGTTTCAGTTTTCATAAGGATTAATTAGTAAAGTCTGTAAAGTTGCTCATAAATTATTATTATCGATACGGTGTGTTTAGATGCTGTTAATACATCAATGTTGTACGCAAAATGTAAGTGTATACGCATTGTAAATCATTATTTACAGTGCTTAGCATAACTGAGTACACCCCATTTTAAAAATGAATATTTTTATCCATTTCTAGAGTTCACACTTAGCTGATGATTGATAATAAAGCTAGTTTGGCGTGCTGTCCCGGGAGAGAGCCCTGAGCTTATAAGATCCTCGAGCCCTGGGCTCCCTCCCGGTGAAAGCCAAGAGGGGAGTTTGAGCTCAGGTAGATCTCGATGACTCCCCTCTTGCTTGTTGTAGCTAAGTGTCAGATATGGATGCTGAAAGGTGTACTCAGAGTTTGGCTAAAGTATTTGGATTAATTGTTTAGAGTGCTTGTTTTTGAACTGTGGGAGGAAACCGGAGTACCCGGGGAAAACCCACGCGACCACGGGGAGAACAAGCAAACTCCGCACAGAAATGCCGTCTGATTTGAAAAGGAATTAAACCAGGGGCATTCTTGCTGTGAGGCAACAGCGCTAATCGCTGGCCACCGTGACACACGTTTGAAAGGAGGGAAAGTAGGGTTGGGTGGGGGGGTTTCTTCAAGACGAAGATATTGAGATGAGAAAAGTCTGGTTATTTATAGTGAGTTAAGGATCGTCATTAGCTAAAGTTGGAACAGCTGTGAACAATCATAAGCACGTGATCCTTTCGAAAAATTTGTTTATAAACTTTACTTCTCAGTGAATCTAGGCAATAAAATTTGGTGCATTTAAATAAAACAAATTTATTAAACATATTTATTTATTCACATAATATTTAAGTCACCAAACATATTTAAAAATGGAAAGATAATACAGTTAAATGCAAACAAAAAATTGCAAAAAAAATTACAACCTAGTGGCACAGTAGGTAGTGCTGTCGCCTCACAGCAAGAAAGTCGCTGGATTGCAGGTTCGAGCCTGTATATCGGCACTTGTTGTACAGTACACAGCAGATCTCGCAACTCAATCTACAATTAGAGGTATACAAAGTTAGCTTTAGCTCTACTATAAAAGATCTGGGTGTCATATTAGACAGCAATCTAACTTTTGAAAACCATATATCCCATGTCAAAAAACTGCCTTCTTTCATCTGAGAAATATCGCTAAATTACCAAATATGCTATCCATCTCAGATGCAGAAAAGCTAGTCCATGCTTTTATGACTTCGAGGCTGGATTACTGTAATGCTCTATTTGCTGGCTGCCCAGCATCCTCTATTAACAAACTTCAATTAGTACAAAATGCAGCAGCCAGAGTTCTGACCAGGTCTAGTAAATATGATCATATAACTTCAATTTTATCCTCCTTACACTGGCTGCCTGTTAAGTTTCGTATTGAATTTAAAATATTACTTCTCACCTATAAAGCTCTAAATAATCTAGCTCCTGTTTATCTAACCAACCTTCTGTCTCGCTACAAACCAACTCGCTCTTTAAGATCTCAAAATTAAGGGCTTCTGGTAGTACCTAGAATAGCAAATTGAGTAAAGGAGGTCGAGCCTTCTCTTTCATGGCTCCTACACTCTGGAATAGCCTTCCTGATAACGTCCGAGGCTCAGACACACTCTCGCAGTACAAAACTAGATTAAAGACCTATCTGTTTAGTAAAGCATACACTCAATGCATCACCTAGCGGGTTCCACACAGGCTTCTGCATCTTGCTTATATACACTATGAACAGCAGCTACGCTAATTATTCTCTTTATCCTCTATTTTCACCTGGGGATACTCATCCCTAGGTCCTCAGATTATGCAGAGTCACTGATTGGATCCAAGACCAGCGACGAGATGATCCCAAGGTTTCCATATCCAGGACCAGGCCATATCCTGAGCTGCTGCTACGCTGATGGTCATGGGGAGTGGAGAACATGAGTCTGATTCCAGTGATGCTCCAGGGACAGACGAGTCTTCACTGAGCCCATCTTCCAGCCTCCACCGCGGTGACTGAAGCTCTGCACATGACTTTTGGCCAGCGGAGAAATTAAAATGGTCGTGCCCAGCTGAGTCTGGTTCTCTCAAGGTTTTATTCTTCTTCACTCTCCTATCAGGTGAAGTTTTTTTTTCCCTCTCCGCTGTCGCCACTGGCTTGTATGGTTCAGGATTGGTAGAGCTACGCATCGATGAATTTGAATTTGAACTCTCTGTAATGTGATTTTAAAATCACACTGAACTGAGCTAACCTGAACTGAACTGTACTTAAACACTAAAAACTGAACTACACTGTTCCAGTTACTATGACCATTTATGTGAAGCTGCTTTGACACAATCTACATTGTAAAAGCGCTATACAAATAAAGCTGAATTGAATTGAATTGAATTGAATTGAATTGAATTGAATTGAATTGGTTGGGGAACTAACCACCAGTGCTGATATACAGCCATATCGCACTGCTACTCGTGTGATATTGCTTATATATATATATGTATATATATATATATATATATATATACACACTTACAGTATATCAATGCTTTACATGACCCAGTTGAACAAGCAGACCTAAAGGATTTTGATTATGTATGGCTTTTTTATTTACTCAAAGTAAAAAAATGTAATAAATGTGTAAACTAAACATGCCACAGCAGTCAGTATATAGCAAATACTGTTGGATTAAAGCTTCACTTACCAAAAGTGTAAGGTTTTTTTATTTATCGGTTGACAATATCAAGCATATCAGGGGCAATTTTGTACAGCTAAAAATAATAGGAAGCAAATGGGTCGTTTACGATTAAAAAAAAGATTGATAAAGAAGGCTTAAAAAGTTAAAAACAAAAAGCACTTTTTACTTGTGAATAAAGGATTTGTGGCCAGTAACATTTGAGAATGTTGTGATATTGTGCTGCCCTGGCCTAGATCTGACATCACATGAGCTGAGCCCTGAGGTCATTTCCTGTCTTTCTGGCCAATCATTCCTTTCACTTTGTTTTGCTCTTTGCGGTTTAAGAAAGGCCTTTATTCTCTCAGCCTCAATTCATTGCAGGGTGTTTTGTTGGCATCTTGTGGCCCGGAAAGGCCAGATACAATGAGTCTTCAGAGGGAATTAAAGTCATATCACAGCTGACTGAAACCATACTGCCAATCCTTGTTAATGTACCACTGTAATAAAACCAGAACTAAGATTTGCTATGGTCAACTAATCACGACCAGCCAAGCGTGTTTAGGGCCTGAGGCATGCAAAGACCCGGACCAAACAATAAGAGTTGAAACTCAAGACTCCTGATAGTCTGTCTGCCCATATCGTTCTCCTTTTTTGAAGCTAATTTTGAACTGTGTGTCATGTCTATTTTTCTCATTTCTCTATGACCCTATTATTCAGATACACATCATTTTTGATCTTTCTGATACATTCAGTTAAAGCCAGAATTATTAGTCTCTCTTTGAAATTTTTTTTCTTTTTTAAATATTTGCCAAATTATGTTTAAGAGAGCAAGGAGATTGTCACAGTATGTCTGATAATATTTTTTTTTTCTGGAGAACGTCTTATTTGTTTTATTTCAGCTTGATTAAAAGCAGTTTTAAATTTTTTTTAAAACATTTTAAAGTAAAAATTTTTAGCCCCTTTAAGCTCTATTTTTTCCGATTGTCTACAGAACAAACTATCGTTATACAATGACTTGCCTAATTAACCTAATTAACCTAGTTAAAAGCAGCTTTTAATTTTTTTAAACAGCATTTTGAGGACAAAATTATTAGCCCCTTTAAGCTATTTTTTTCGACTGTCTGCAGAACAAACCATCGTTATACAATAACTTGCCTAATTACCCTAACCTTCCTGGTTAACCTAATTAACCTAGTTAAGCCTTTAAATGTCACTTTAAGCTGTATAGAAGAATGTCTTGAAAAATATCTAGTTTCCCCCACAGTCCAAAGACACTTGGTATAGGTGAATTGAGTAAACCTAATTGGCTGTGAAATTATCTATTACTTAGTTTATTCTATTTGCTATGAGACCAAAAAATGTGTGAAAATGCTGATTATTGAGATTGTGATTACACTTGCTGATTTTGATGAAGTAACAGAGTATCTATATCTGATTTTTTTTCAAAGTTCACATAAAATTTTGAATGGCTTTTGTCACTCGATTAGATTCATGTTTAAAGACTCTAAAAATGGAGTTCAGATTAATTATACAAGAGACAAAAAGAGAGTGTATGTGAGAGAGAAAGAGATAGGCAGGCACAGCTGCAGAACTTACCGCTGGAGCAGTCAGCCCCTCCCCAGCCCGGCTCACACTGACAGGTGTTGGGGGCCACGCAGCGGCCATGCACACATTTCTCAGCACAGTGGGCTACAGCGAAAACAAGAGAGAGTAAGGTCAGGTTTCAGTCCTTCAATGAGGAGACAAGCAAACAAACACAAGCAGAAACCACATAAAACCCATGAGATACAGTACAAAGAGACGATGAGTCTAGGAAACCCTGTCTCTTCTGGAAACTCACTGGCCACAAATCCTGTGCTCTATAAGTGTACCTCAAACATCAGATAATCTTATAACTGGTTGTGATTGTCACATATACAGTTAAAGTCAGAATTATTAGCCCCCTGTTTATTTTTTTCCCCAATTTCTGTTTAACAGAGATTATTTCAACACATTTCTAAACATCAGAGTTTTAATAACTCATTTCTAATAACTGATTTATTTTATCTTTGATATGATGGCAGTAAATAACATTTTACTAGATATTTTTCAAGACATTTCTATACAGCTTAAAGTGACATTTAAAGGCTTGACTAGGTTAATAAGGTTAACTAGGCAGGTTAGGGTAATTAGGCAAATTATTGTATAACGATTATAAATAAAATAAAAATTAGCTTAAAGGGGCTAAAATTTTGACCTTAAAAGGCCTTTTAAAAAAATTAAAACTGCTTTTATTCTAGCCGAAATAAAACAAATAAGACTTTCACCAGAAGAAAAAATATTATCAGACATACTGTGAAAATTTCCCTGCTCTGTTATAAACATTGTTTGGGAAATATTTAAAAAAGAGAATAAAAATCAAAGGGAGGCTAATAATTCTGGCTTCAACTGTGTGTCTTTTGTGTGGTGAGATTAATCAGACATTATCACATTATAAGCCTCAGTGCAAAGAACTTTCAAGAGAATGTTAACATTATTCACCAGATACACTCATATCAGTGTGCCAGAATTATCGTGATGGTGAAGTTATCTATCATGGTAGAAAGTTAATGTATCCTCGAGTTTAGGAGCATGTGATTACAGTCACATTACTGCAAACATACAAAAGAGTCTTTCAGGCTCAAAAATGTCTTTTTGAGTTGTTATCTATCTATCTATCTATCTATCTATCTATCTATCTATCTATCTATCTATCTATCTATCCATCCATCCATCCATCCATCCATCCATCCATCTATCATCTATCTATCTATCTATCTATCTATCTATCTATCTATCTATCTATCTATCTATCTATCTATCTATCTATCTATCCATCCATCCTTCCATCCATCCATCCATCCATCCATGTCTTCAAAATTGATTCATATATGAACAATGAATGAACATTTCTCCCAACACTATTTACATTTGCACAACAGTAAATGCATTTCTCAAAACAATTAGCACAAACTGCAAAACCTAGTTGATAACCTGCAAAAGCGTGTCACTTGCTCAAAATGGATAGCTCATTCCTCAAAATGCAAGTATTCATGTCAATCAAGTGTCAGTGTCATCAAGATGAAAAGTCCTGACACCATTGTTTATGAACAGGATAGTCAAATGGCTGTCAAGTTTTCATTATGACAGTTTACTCTGTATGTTTGTTCCAATGCGAAATAAGTCCGATTTTGGTGACACTTTTTGAAAATTCTCAAGACAGCACTCAATACTATTTGCTCAGCCTTTTGAAAACTAAAGTAAAGTTAGACATCACTGCATTTATTGAGTTATCTGAGTAAAATACACTGAATATGTATGTTTCACATTTTACTGCATTTGCTCTTTACAATCGTAATTTATTCACAGCAATGTGCAAAAGAATAAACACACCCTTATTTACAACAAACATAAACTTCCATTGAGTAGAACTGTGCACAACTGTAAACAATATTGCAGTACATATTGGAACTGAACCTACAACATACAGAGGTCTGTAAATCATTGATGAAATTGTTCAATTCAAACAAGAAATTTAGGAAAATAATATTTAAATTTTTTATAAAATTAGCTAGACAGTTTTTGACAACTAGTTCAACATTTTTGTATGTAATGACTCAAGTAATGAAATGAAGACTAATAGTTTTATATGGAATGACTATTCAGCATTCACAAGTTTAGTTAATTTTGACGTGACATAAGCAAATGATAATGTTATAAAACAACAGGGAGATATATGAAAGCAATTGATGCATGTCCAAAAGCATTTGCAATTTGTTGGAAGGAATGAGAAACTGCTACTACTCTGTAAAAAATAATTCCGTAAAATTTAAGGTAAAAAAACGACAGCTGTGGTTGCCAGTACTTTACCGTTAAAAATACGGTACAAACCGTAAAAGTAATTTTTCATTTTTACGGTAAATTACCGTATTTTATTCATTTATAGAAGTAAAATGCCTGTATTTTGAACGATCAACATTTACACATCTTTTGTTAAACAGTTAGACACGTTAGCACACCCACATGCAGGTGGTGATGAGGAAGTTACATATTGAGCCAATGCTCATTACAATCAACTTTTCCCACAAGCAGAAAAGAGTATCAGCATATAGAAGGTGCTCAGTGTCATTCACACAGCTACTAAACACCAGTATGGTAACACGCATAAAATAAAATTCAAGAAATAAACATTGTTTACCAACATTAGATGTACCATAAATCTCTAATGTTCATAACTGATGCGGAAACAACTAAAAAGATCCATAATAATGTCAACCAAATGCATAAAAAGTGATGTGCCATGCAGGGAAATCTGGGAAAGTCAATTTACGGTTATTCGCCGTATATATAAAGGAAAGATACCGTTAACCAGGTTAGGGATTTGTACTGTAGCATTTTTACAGTTTTTTACAGTTGAAATCACAGCCATTTTTTACAATGTATGATGTGCACAAATGACTAACTGTTGTGCAAATGTAAATAGTGTTGTGAGAAATGCACCAAAGCGACTGAGAAAAACTGTAATTCTGGACATTTTATTATTCCCTGAATATCAAAATCAACTGTAGGTGCTAGATCTTACTCATATCTGGCACCTAAACTCTGAAACAGCCTTCCTAGCACAGTTCGGGAAGCAGACACACTCTGTCAGTTTAAAACTAGATTACAGTTTTTTTTGTTTGCTTTGACCTGGTTAAAGAAACTAGGTTCCACTTCATTTTCATCATCACTATCCCATCAGAGCAGAAGACAGGTCTTGCAAATTTGTAAACCCTTTCTTATTGGGTTGACACATTTCCCCACCATTTTTCAAAACAGTTAACACGGATGTCATTCAAGCAGTCCAAACTCCATTGTTTTAGCTATGGTAACCAAACAGAAACCATCAATTCCTAACCATTTGAAACTACCAAGATCATTAGGAATTCATTGAAGCACTGGTTTGGCACTCCTTCACAGAAATCTTTAATTAGTAATCAGTCTGCAAACATTAAAAACGGTGGAAGGTCTGTGTTGTTCTGTGCCAGCATGGATGGAGGAGGTTAACAGTGGCTATGTCCTATACTCCCAATAGATTTGACTGTATACTGGTGTACATGTGTTTTCTCTAATTTCCAGTATTGTATTACTTTTGTCTGTTTTGTTTTTTTAGAGTATTTCTGTTTTCAGCCAGAGTTTGAATTCAATATAAATTTAATCAAAGCATTTGTTTTTCTGGATCCAATTCTTTGCAAAAAGGCAAATCTGACAGCCCAAATAGAAAGACAACAAATTTCATTGGCAATAGGCTACAATGGCAAGCAATGGTGTACTGATTCACACTGAGCTCTGTATTTTGTGTTTTTGTTGTCCATTGGGTAGTGATTAATCGAAAGAGCTCATATACTTGTTTGCAAGTTGTGTTGTTTGACGGTAAAACTGGCTTTCGTTGCATATTTTAAATGTTTTGACACTGTTTGTGCAAGCAAAATGTGTCATTTTGACCATGAGTGCTGCTGTTTAGGCCTGTGTGTTAACTGTTTTGAAAATGTGGAGTTTGAGTTGACGGCTGCATCAAAGCAATCAAGAAAAACTGTAAGAACACATCTCTTTGCATTAGCATACACATAAAACACAAATGCTTTTGAAATCCAAATCCTCCAAAGAATTTTTAATCTGCATCATTTAGGGCAACCGGAGCTAGGAACACTTCCCAAAAGACATTGTATTTTGAAAAGCATCTGCACTTATGTTAGTTTGTTTTTATTATTCCTGGGGTTTCCATAATCCTGGACCAGGCCGTATCCTGAGCAGCTGCTGTGGTGGTCATGGATTAGTGGAGAGCATGAGATTGATTCCGGTAAGGCCCCAGTGACAGGCGAGTCTTAGCATTGATCCAGAAAAGCCAGCTTGTAAACCAGCCGGTGACCTCTCCTCCTGCAGCTTCTCCACGATAGATGTCCAGGTTTCTCCAGCCTCCGGCACCTAGACTGAAGCTCTGCAAGTTTGGCCATAGAAGAAATGGTTGTGCCCAGCTGAGCCTGGTTTCTCTCAAGTTTTTTTTTTCCCTTCACTTTCATCAATTGGTGAAGTTTTTTCCTCGCCGCTGTCATCACTGGCTTGCATAGTACGGGACTTGTGGAGTGTCGCATCGATGGATTTGCTCTTCAGTGTTTGGACTTTCAACAGTGAAAATTAAACCACACTGAATTAAACTAAACTAAACTTCAACTCTGAAAACTGGACTGACACTTCTATGTGAAGCTGCTTTGACACAATCTACATTGTAAAAGCGCTACAGAAACAAAAATGAATTGAATTAAATTGAAATAATTGGAAAAAGGGACAATGGGTAGAGCTGGCCCAAAAAAAGATTAAGAAGAGTCTGTACAGGTAACAGAGTTATACTCACGAACGCATATATCTCCACTCTCATAGAAACCTGGGCAGCACTGAGACTTGCGTCGATGCATTGTCTTCTCACCCCTGCGATAGGCCGTTCTGTAGCTTACTCTAAAATAAAGGAAAACATCATTACTGATTTAAAAACAGCATTTATCCACAGGACATTCTATTATACAGGTGTTCTATTATACTGATATATACAGCTGAATTATTAGCCCTCCTTTGATTTGTTTTCGGTTTTTTAAATATTTCCCAAATGATGTTTAACAGAGCAAGGAAATTTTCACAGTATGTCTGATAATGTTTTTTTCTTCTGGAGAAAGTCTTAGTTGTTTTATTTCAGCTAGAATGAAAGCAGTTATTAATTTTTTTAACACCCTTTTAAGGTCAAAATTATTAGCCCCTTTCAGCTAATTTTTTTTTCTTCGATAGTCTACAGAACAAACCATCGTTATACAATAACTTGCCTAATTACCCTAACCTGCCTAGTTAACCTAATTAACCTAGTAAAGCCTTTTAAAGTCACTTTAAGCTGTATAGAAGTGTCTTGAAAAAAATCTAGTCAAATATTATTTACAGTCATCATGGCAAAGATAAAATACATTAGTTATTAGAGATGAGTTATTAAAACTATTATGTTTAGAAATGTGTTGGAAAAAAACTTCTCTCTGTTAAACAGAAATTGGGGGGGGAAATAAACAGGGGGGCTAATAATTCTGACTTTAACTGTATATAAACAACATCTACAGCAAGTGTTGTAAACCCCACACACCTGTGCTGAGTGCATTTGAACCAGTTGAGGATGTCCGTGCAGCTGGTGTAGTAGATTTGATCAAACGGATGAGCGTACGTCTCCTGCACGGTCACTGAGTAACTGAAGAAGACACACATACACACACATACACACACACACACACATGAAAGCTGCATCTCTAATATGTCTGTGTGGTCTCATTACTTAGCCAACACTAATAGCTAATGAGAACAGCAGTTCTGTGCAGTTATCTGTGTATAAAAAAAGGATGCTGCTGACAAACTACAGACATAGTGTCACATGGTCGTCGTGTGTGGGCTACCACTGCTATGAAATGCATGGGGAAAATAAATCAATAGAGTAAACTGTTTACTCTCAACCAGCTCTAATGTAGATCTTAAGACACCTGTCCGTGGATTTTTGTGTGCTGTATTTTAGATATTCAGATACGCATCGACTCCACAAATTCCTGCTCCTACAATAAAACAGTAAAGAGCATCAAAAAGCTCTTTGTTTGTTTGGGAACAGTTGTGCCTGTTGGCTGTTTTTATTGCCATTTAGGCGACATTCAATAGTAAAAAGAACTTTACTCTTCTATAAATAAGAAATATCAGTAAAAATAACTGTCACACTGTACAATAAGGTTTATTAGTTAATGTTAATTAATGCATTTACTAACATGAACAAACAATGAATAATACATTTAGTACTGTATTTGTTCATGTTAGTTAACGTTAGTTAATGAAAATACAGTACTTTATTGTTAGTTCATGTTAACTCATGGTGCATTAACTAATGTTAACAAGCACGGACTTGGATGTTATTAGTGCATTAGTAAATGTTCAATTATGATTAATAAATGCTGTACATGTGTTGTTCATGATCAGTTCATGTTAGTAAATGCATTAACTAATGAATCTTATTGTAAAGTGTTAACAAAATAACAACAGTTGGATCCAATATTTTTTTCAGTAGTGCTTTGACGTAAAGACAGGCTTTTCAAGCAAGTTTTTCTCATGGTGTTCATCTATCTGAGTGCTATTAAGAAATTTTAAAAATGTTCATATATTTTTTTTCCATGGCAGTTTAAGTACAGCAAATAACCCAGGATGCTGTGAACGTTCCTGAGAAATCTTGGACAAATACATTAGACTCATTTGGCCGTACGGTCACACATTCTCTGGTTTAGGAAACTCTTCCACAGCACACAGCTGTTCCCACACATTACGAGTGAAAGTGAATCTAGCTGGGAAGAAAACTCCATCTTTGTTCTTTTCAATCGCCTTTAATGGATTTCCGAGCTTTTCCCTAATTTGGCCACAGACATCTACTGCCTGTTAACACTGAGTGCGCAAGTGAATGCGAGCCTGTAGATGTATTTGGTCCTCTAAGCTGAAGGAAATCACCTTCTTGAGCAGGTGATTTTCATTGCAATGGTCTTTATAAATATTTTTGTGATAACATTACACCATAGTGAAACCTAACCTAGTTTTTATATGTTTTTTTCAAAGACATGTTAACAGACTGCCTAAAAAAATGGGTGTTCAGTTCTTTTACTCATGCATTGTCATAATGCAAACAAGTGTGTTATAGTGATTTGAAAATCAGTGTGTGTAATGTTTTGCAAAGAATGTGAAGCTGACAATGTGCTTACAGTCATGCAGATCTAGCCATGTGTTTGGTTCAAGTAATGTAATGTAGAGTAATGTTTTGCTAGTTGTGGGAAAAGTTTAATTTTAGTGTGTAAGCAATCATAAAAAAAAACTGCAAGTAGTCACAATATAATTATACATTAACATATTATGAGTTCATGATGGTTAAATTAAGCATAAACTAATGTGGTAATTAAAACATTAATTAACAAACAATCATGTACTAGCAAGTAATTAGGGTAGCCATTATTTACACATGAACTCATGTGACTCATAAAGCTAGTTTATGATTAGCGCATGCATAAACTCATGCTTCATAGTAAAGTAATGTTTAGTTGACATATTAACACATCATTATTCATGTACTGTTTTTGTATAGTTGTGTAAATTGCTTCCTTGTCCTCATTTGTAAGTTGCTTTGGATAAAAGCGTCTGCTAAATGACTAAATGTAAATGTAAAGTGTTACAATTAATTGTAACGACAAAAACTTCTAGGTAACTGCAAAAAAGACAGTGTTTGTGTTTGTGTGTGTGTGCGTGCGTGTGTGTTTCTTACCTTTCCCAGTGACTGCAGACATTAGGGTCATCCAGGTTGAGTGATGATGTCAGAGCAACCAAACAGCATGACACAGCCAATAGAAGAGGACCACAGGATGACATCATTTCAGGAAACACCTTCACACAAACCCAAAAATACATACAATATAACTTTTTTAATGTAGTCTGTGGCCAGTCTGTGGATACTATTGTCCTGCACAAGAATATTATGGTTATTATCCATAATATCATATCATATATCCATACTATTAATGATCTTCATTATTGACATTCTGTGTAGCATCTATCAAAACGCTACATCAAGTCATTCAGCAGTACTTCAAAATTCGATAATTGTGATAGGTGGGATGTTCCAATATTGCTTTTTTTTTTAAGTATAATATTGGAAACTCTTTAAACTGGTCTAGTTAATGTATAAATAAGCTGATCAATGCTACTAAAATGAGTACACTCTAAAAACGTTGACTTATTCATTTACTGCAATGATTGAGTTAAAAATATTTGGTGCTTTATTGGGCTATTTTTAACCTTTATTGGGTTATTTATAAGGCTGCAACTAACGATTATTTTAATAATCGATTTATCTGTCAATAATTTTTTCTATTAATCGGATTTTAAAAAAAGCTAGGAAAAGCATTTATTTTCAACCCTTTATTCAAAAAAGCTCATCCCTGAGCTGTAAGAAAAGTTTTCTGCAGTGCAGCTATACATGACAACAGATGAAAAATGAAAGATCCAAAGAAGGTGAGTGAATAAAAATGTGTCTTTAGTCTTGCAATGCAAAGTAACTCTACTACCACTGCTTTACTGCTGTTATTAACCCTTTCACTGTTGAGTTTAAAAGATTCTATCTAGCCTGGGAGTCAGTTTTTTAGAACATTCACACTTAATGTTTCCGTGGTGACGCATCACGTTTGTCCCGTGATACACCGCAGCCACAACAGTGATGTATGACAGATGTATCCCTTTAATTTAGTTTTTTTCTGTTTTAATTAAACATATTCACATGCTTGCTCATCATGTCATCAACAACCTGATATTCCAATTCACTAAATGTGTAAGTGATCGTGATCTATAACGTGAGATAGACGTCTCCATGTTTACTTGCGGCCACTGCCTCATTCATAAAAAGCAAAACATGCAGGATTCAGCAGGTACATTCATAAGTTACTCCCAAAATACATGCAAGTAAGTGGCTGGTGAACTTAGAGAAGCGTATATTCAACTTTATAGTTACTTTACTATGCGTAATGTGTATCTGATATGAATAAAACACATCAGCAAATTATATTTGAATGGATTGTTAGACTTCCATGTGTGTTTTACAACTTTAAATGTATTGTTTTACTAGTACTTGTGTGTATTTACATATCTAAAACATAAATTGAGTATTAGGTGGTTAAAACGCTGCATAATTGTGACACGTCAGTTGAGTTGGTTTTGTTTTCGGAAAAAAAAAAACGAAAAAAAGAAGCACTTTTCCGATGGTCCCTTACTGAGAGCTTGGTTCAGCGTGACCCCTCTCTGCCTCAGCGCAAATTGCGACTGCTTAAGTGGAGCAGGGCTTGTAATATCGAGCGAAAAAAAAGAAAAAGGCAGCGGTGGAACATAACCTGCTTTGTCTTTTTAAAGGAAACACAGTTTAGCTCTTTTTAGGGAAGAGGTTTTTTGAATGAATGTCGTCTGCCACTGAGTGTGTCAGGAATACCGAAAACAAACCAACTTAACCCCGCTGTCTTTTTCTGACTTAGTGCCAGACACAACCAGCACCAGGGACTTTACGGTTCTCACTTCAAAACGAAACAAAAGTAGGATTCTCAAGTGATTCTTCCGCATCATCCCTGTCACAACAAATCGATAATGAAATTCGTTGCCAACGCTTTTAGTAATCGATTTTCATCGATTAAATCGATTTAAAAATAAAATATGGCATGAAATAAAAATAAAATATTTATGATATATTTATGTAAACGTCAATAAAAACACAAAAAGAAAATATTTATAATATGGCAACATATCATAAAGTACCTTAAAAAAATAACATTTTCCATTTTCTTACAGCACTTCAAGATAAGTTATTTCAAGAAAAGAAAAACAGTCAAATATTATTTTTTATAGATTAATCATAATGCGTGCAGTAGAGGATTAGTTCAATATCTTGTCCTTGTGTCTTTATTGTATTGTTAAAGCACATAACAAATTTTTCAACGCAATCTTGTGGCAATTCGTAAGTTATTGATTTAGTGGCTTATTTGTATGAATTCATACGATCGAATTCATACAATTTAGTACAATTAGCTCATTACCCAATGACGGTTGGGGTTAGGGGTCGGGTGCCACGGCTTCTTTTTAAAAACCGTACATTTTCGTACGACTGAACTCGAATTCATACGAATTAGCCACTAAACTGACAAAACGTAAAATACTTACGTTTACTCATGAGATCAGGCTGCATTTTTCATTGTTTTAGTTTGTATTGTTTGTTTTGTGTTTGATAAATGTAATGTCTTCATCTCCTTTAGAAATATATAATATATTTATTAGGAAAAATAAATACTTTTTTACTGTCTGTTTGTATATTGAACTAACTAATTATTGTTAGTTCATATTGTATATTGAACTAATTTTGCTATTTAAACCTGTTAAAAGAGAACTTCTTCAACTCACTCAAATCACTTTGATTGTCACATCATCAGCAGTATGTGTGCTATGATAAGTAAAAAGCTTAGGTTATTGCTCCAGACAGTGCAAAAACAATGACATACTCCAAAACAATATACTATTAACAGTAAATGCCAAGTTCTTGTACTTGTAAAATCATTTACTAAGTAAAGTTTGTTTATAAACTAATTTCGAGAGGATCACGTGCTTATGATTTATCACGGCCGGTCTCGTATTAGCTAATCATTATCTTCCAATCATATGAGCCCTAAGCTACTATAAAGAACCACAGTTTTCAGTCCACATTATCTTCGTTTGGAAGAAACCCCCCTTCCTCCCCAATTCTCCTCCTTGACATTGATTGGGCGGCACGGTGGCCCAGTGGTTAGCACTGAGAGCCTCACAGCAAGAACACCACCGGCCTAATTTCGCCTAGCTGGTGGGAGTTTCTGTGAGGAGTTCGTATGTTCTCCCCATGTTCGCATGGGTTTTTCCCCGGGCTCTCCGGTTTCCTCCCACCATCTAAAGACATACATCCTGCTTAAGAACCAAGCACGCTTTAGCCCCCTTCTAAGATTTTCCCTTAGCTATCGCAGTCGGGGAGTTCTGAGATCCACCAAGCTCAGGCTCCCCTCTAGCTCTGCGAACGGGGGAGAGCCCCGGGCTCGAGGATCCCTTGAGCTTGGGGCCCTCTCCCAGGACAGCATGCCAAACAAGCTTTGATAGATCATTTGCTAAGTGTGAATTCTTGAACTATTTTAATCTTTTTCATATACTGTAACTACAGCTACACTTTTTAGAAGGCTGTTTAAGAGTTAGAATGATACTGCAAAACACTGCTAGCAACATATAATACCTTAGCTTCCCTCCATTTTTAAAAATGTGCATAAAACAAAGCAAATCATTTGGTTTAAAACGTATGTGCAATGGACAGTCTCCTATAGTTTAGAGTGTCGTGCTGAACTCTTCAAAATATCCTGCTGACTGCTTTATAGACATCAATGTCTTGGTGTCACTCTGACTGACGAAGATTGAATCATGTATCTTGTTGTGTGTGATCAACAGTTGCATCACAATATAGATACTTTAGAAATTAGAAAGGAATAAAACCGATTTTACACATCAGAGGTACTTTTTAGCTTTAGCATTTAACAATGTGTGTCAAAGCAAAGCAAATGTTTTCACATTTGGGGGATTTGATGATTTAACAACAAGCTTCCTGAAGATACAATATAAGTACAAATCACACACTCCTTTACAACTCAGTTATTGTGTGCATATATAATCCACAAATACCATCCAGATGGGCATACTCTGCATTTCACAACAAATTTGTGGACCGTGAGAGATTTGGGAGAGTTCTGTTATCACCCTGCAGAGATGCAAAGCTGTGAGAAATCACATGTGCACACAAACACATCATTTCCCATGGTAGCCCTGAAAGAAAGCTCAGTAATGGACATCCTGGTCTTGTAGTAGCTGCTTTTAGGAGGATCGGCTGCCAGCAGTGACATTTGTAGCTATTAAACAGATCTGAACTAAACTGAATTGAACTTCTATAGTGATATTTATACTAAACTAAACTGAAGTTTAAATAGATTTATATTGAAATGTTTTCTAAAATATAAATATTTACACCAGGATTCCACCACTACTCTCCTACCTGTCTGACTTGTTGGAATGCTCCACAATCTGAAATATTGTCATGGCTTTTTATTGATGGCTGTGTCTAATCTTTGGCACAAGTTTTATTGTAAAAAAAAAAAAAAAAAAAGTGCAATAGAAATAATAATTTAATTACATTGAATTGAATTGAACTGAATTGGTTAAAGACTAGTTTGATCATTAAGTTGTTACTGTGGTGTTTAAAATAGTGTTGGTGTGTTGATTATTTAGTGCAGGGGTCAACAATCTGGGTCCTGAAGGGCCGGTGTCCCTGCAGGGTTTAGCTCCAACCTTCTCTATACACCTGCCTGGATGTTTCAATTATAGACTGACTTCATGCGGCTGCCATTTTCTAAAGCGAAATCGAGGCTGCGGTGGAAAGAAACCAGGAAGTATGATTGGGAGTTACATTGGAATGTTCTGTAACTGGCTATATATCCTATCAGCGAAGATAAAGTGACACAAACTTATCATTTCTCTGCCTTCCGGGTGACCCGAAGGTCCGTTCTGAATGAATGGTGAAAATAAAAAGGGATATTAGAGCTCATTTTCAGCTAAGTTAAGGGAAATGGCACTAGTTAGCTAACGTTTTCCTTTCCAAACACACGTTTTAGATGCCATTCATCAAACTGGAGTTAATGAACTGATTCTTTCACTATATTAGACTTGTCACGATACTGAATTAAAAGAAAAACGGCAATTTCGCTCTAAGATTTAAGGCAATGTTGATGGCTTTCTTAAAACAGCGCTGATTTGCCATTGTGTTCACGTGTTCAAGAGAAATGATTGTG